AAGCCATGTGCATGTGGCACCTGGGGACGTGGTGCAGTGCTGAGGTAACTGTTGAACTCCTTTATCTTAGAGACATTAACCTTAACAGTTCAGTGATTCTATAAATTCATAGTGCTCTTGCAGTCCCAAGAACACTTTCACCATTGCAGATTCCCCACAGCTTTGGCAAAGCCATGAGAACACCTGCAGTACCCAAAGGCAGCCTCCACTCAAGTCCCTCGAGTCTGCAGCTTGACATCATCCCCATCTCTGTAGCAATTCTCTCTATTTCTACACCTCTCTTTCCTTCAATCCCCCAGATCTCTCCATCACTACTGGTTGCTCTTGGCTGGATTCAGGCTGCTCACTGGAAACACCACCAAGGAGATGATCTTTCCATCCCTACATGGAGACCTCAGTTACAAATGGTTGTGACTTAGCATGACACCTGATTCTCAGGCCAGCTCCTAGACTGGCACTACCAAAGCCTTCAGAAACTCCAACAATTACAAGCATTTTACTCCTGGGGCAGGATTGTATTAAAATAGAACTAAAAATAATCCAAGTGCCTGCAAACCCTCCTGGAAGAGAGGGGAGGAAACCAGCAAAACTGGTCTACTTTCCTTTTTTAACTTCAAGCACTTTAATCCAATAACAGAAAACAAGAAATCTCAGACCTCCTCTTATAGACATGCTAGAGGGAGCACAGATCTATTTCTAGCTTTGAAAGTCATTCAGCAAAGGCAGAAGCTCTCTGGACCCACGGAACTGCTCTGCTCATCCTGAAATCAATGAAAATTATATTTGATGCTTATGTTGGTATTACTAATAGTTCTTACACTCAAATATGAAGTATTTGTCAGTCTTGTTGGCCATCTCTTTTTTTTGGCTTGACCATTAAGGGGGGTATTAAGTGATTTTTCTATGAGCTTCCACTGGAATTTTTCCTTTTTTCCTATGCATGTCTCTAGATGGCACCTAGGTCTTACACTGGGAAATACAGATTTCTTCCTTGGCTGATAAGAAGATAGAAAAATTCAGCTGTTGAAGAATAATTTCTACTGAAACAAAACAAAACAATTATTTTGTGTCTGGTACAGAATGTCTCTTTTTTAAAAGCCCTGCCTCCCATTTTCTTGCAGAGCCTCTGAATGGGAGGGCTCTGCCTGCCCTGCTCCCCTCGGTGCAGATGGTGACAGCAGAGGTGACTCATGCTGTCACCTCACTGGAGCATGGCATGGCAATGACAGTGCTCAGGGCGCTCTCCCCTGGTAGCTGGACCACAGGAACATGGAATGGGGCTGAGTCACTGTGCCAGGGCACTGCAGGCTCCCTGACCCGCTTATTTTCCTGTCATTTTGTGCCATGTTTAGAAAATCTTCTGCTCCCGCTGTTTATTCATTATGAGGTTTGGTTTTTTGTTGTTTCTTTCTGTTGTTTCTTGTAGGTTGTGATGATATAGCTTGAAATACCATGAGAGAAAATACTAATGTGTGCTTGTGTGATATCTCCAAGCTTGCAGAGGGGGTTCTGCAATAAGCCAGCAAGAAAGAAAAGCAGAAGTGCAGCCAACGTGTCAGGAATGCACAAAAGCACACTGAGGATCCATCCTCACTTCAATCCTATTGCAATTATTCCAGGAATGGATTTGGGCTCCTAACCAGAGAAATGTTTTATCATACTCATAACTCATGTGTTTAGGGTACCTGGGCAGACATTTAAAGCTCAGCTCTGGAGGAAAAACTGCCATGTTGTAACTGCTGTTTGCTTCACTGGTGTTTTTTCTACAATGTGAAAAATGTTTTCACAGGGACTGGAAAGAATGTACCAACTCTTCCAGAGAAGAAAAAGAACCTCTGTAGGTTAGGGGACCCAAAGGAATTTTTTTTCCTGTACTCTGCAGATTGCTGCTTTCCTTAAGATTTCCAGAAGCACTTTTTACTTCCTAAAGAGGTCTGACAGTAGTACCAAGATGCTCTCAGTCAAGCCCTGCTGACCATCCAGCTTCCAAATGAGAAATACACTGGGATTTTTTATTTTTTTTTTTCAGAAGCAGCATTAACTTCTTCTAGGACTCCTGTAACTACTCACATCCAACATCCAGAGCATAAGGGGGAAAAGAAGGGAACGTTCATAGTGCCAGTACAGATTGAATGGCCTTCCAAGAGATTTCCTTTCCAGGAGTTCCTCTTCTTCCCTTTCCTTCAAGGGTAGTAAGGCAACTCTTGCCCAGGGCAGCTCCTGTTGCCCTGCATTCAGTATTATTTGCTAGCAGATGTGGGATGTGCTTTATAGTTACCAGGAACCATAGATCCTGCTTTCATTAAGTCAGATAGATGAAGCTTTGGCATGGTCCCATATGTCCTTCAGCCCTCCCTTTCATCATTTAACCTCTTTTTTTTATTACTTTTTTCCTAATCAGCACTGTGGAGTGGATGAAACACAAAGGCTGTTTGGCACAGATGGGAGGAAAGATGTTCCATGTGCTTAAGGGGATTGGTGCAGATGGTAGGTTCAGTTTTTGTCCATCAGCACAATGCACCAGCCTGCAGAACTGGGACTCTGGAGAGGTCATCTGACTTATGATTTTTGGAATTCATGTGGTCACAGAGCTGTTACAGACCTAAAGTGCTTTGGCCATGGATTTACTTCCTGCTGTGTGTTACAAGGCAGGAACAAAGTTTAGGTCTCAGGAAAAAGAGATGCTAAAAATATACATGGAATACCAGCTACATGCTCTGCAGTCAGACTGAAAACCAGCCAAGATAATGGGGAGAAAGTGCAACTGAAGTTGCACCATGTGGTCAGTACCTTTGCCACAAGTTAGGCACAAGGACTGTAGGGACTACTGAACGGGAATGATCTTGCTCACTTGGAATATACTGCTGATGGTATTTTAAATTCCTGAAAATCCTCAGAGAAGAGCAGTGCCATTAGCTTTTTGGAGTTCCTCAGTGAGGGCACGGAGCCAAACTGATATAGTGAAGTATTTTAATTAGTGTATTTCAGAGCTTCTCAGAATGAAGCCAAATCTTCTGAATCAGAAAAAAAATCCTCTCTGTCTATCACAGAGATCTCTTTTGTAGAAACTCACTGTTCTCTTTACCAGTTGAGAGCGTGGCCTGATATCACTTGAATACAGCAGTTCAATATTGAACATTTCTTGCCAAGAAACTGTCATCTTTGTCAGGCATGGTCATCTCAGTCAAATGTACCAACATGACACCCAAAGTGCACGAACACAGAATGGATAAGGAGCTGTGAGGCTTGCTCACATCCCAGCACGTTTTCAATACTCTCCTGGGAGGACAGCATTTAAGGTTAATTGATAAAAGTAATTCCAGTGCCACTTAGTGTGATGGATCTCAAGAGTAAAGCAGGCTTTGCTTGTGAGGAGAGTGAATAATATGGAGAGCCTAAGTCAGAATATTCATCAGTAAAAACATCTCTGCCTCCAAGTGTGCTAAACACACAGAGAAAGGACCATGCTCTAGTCCTGAGGCAAACATGCTGATCTTCCCAATAAAACCAAGGCTTACAAGGCAGATGGGCACTGAACGAGCAGATCCCAGTGGAAGTGACAGCGGTACACAAAGAAGGAAAAGAGGTCAGCAATAAAGATTATTAGGAGAGGTATTTCATGGTTGTATTTTGGGAGGAGAGGGGTAAAAAGGCAGCAGGAACAGCTGTCATAGCACGGTGAAAGTGGCAGAACAGGCAAGATGCAGTTAACAACACAAGGATCACCGTGTTTTACTGACAAGAGCAAAGCAGCTGAGGGACAGCCCCTGCAGAGACCTGGCAGAGGCGGAGGGGAGAATAAAAGCTCTTGGGTTGTGATTAAAGTCTTATTTGTGCCAGAAACACCTACTTTTCCCACTCCTCACTTAATGCAATAATTTGGCTGCATTGTCCCTTGAGGGCTCCCTCTCACATAGACACACACGCGATCCCTCAGCCTTGCTCTGCTGAAGTGGCGCGGTGACAGCCCCTGCTCCGGCCGCACTTGAGCTGCTCCGGGTGCTCCGGCAGCAGCCAGTCCCCCCTCAGGCCCAGGACGGTGAAAAACAGAGCTCTGAGATCCCCGGGCAGGGAGAGCGTTGGTGAGATCCAAGCGGAGAATGTACAATTAATCACACAGGCTGGGTTTTGTGCTCTTCAGGGGGTGATCTCAAAATGAAAGCCCCAGATGCTGCCCTTGGAGCCAGCAGCCGAGCCTTGGCTGGCTGAGGCACTGGAGGAAACTGTGCCAGGAAGGCAATGCTGGAGGCTGCTGCCTTCCCGGGGAGTGATTCAGTGGCAGCTCTCAGGAGAAGCAGCAGTTTCAAGGAGAACTGAAGGTGCAGTTTCTGCTAAAGTTACTTTTCTTTATTTAAACTGTCTTCTGTGTCTTAACATTCATGGACTTTCTGCACATATCAAGGATTTGAAGCATTTAACATCAACCATGGAGGATATTTACCCAAGACAAAAAACATCAGAAATAGATAAATACCAAATTATGTCAGTTTCCAGATCTCTGGTGTTAGAGGTGATTTATTAGTAGGGTCACAAAGAAAGCTGGTGGTAGAATATGAACCTTGCCCATGTCAAATAAGCTGTCACCCTCTGCTGCCCCTTGCCAGGCTCTCTGCTGCTCTTGCTCTCTCCCTGGTGAAAACTCTGGCTGCACTAAGTGCAGTGTGGCTCGCCTGTCTTTTCCCAGGACCATTATGGAGACAGGTGCCCACTCCAGAAAGTCCTCTGATGTTCAAGAAAGTAAAATCTGAAATTATCCACAGTGACAGGTATGGACCTACACACAAATTAGAGCCAGTAAGACAAGTAACCAAGGGCTCAAGGGCATTTAGGATTAAATACTCTTTGCTTTCTGTTAAACTTGCTGAGCCAAGAGTGTCAGGATCCCCTTTCAGGCTGACAGGTCCCAGGCAAGGCCAGGGCCATGCACTCAGCTGAGACCTGGCCAATCCATCAACAGAGTGGGGTTTGCATGTCTGACCATGCTTTTTCTGTTTCTGCAGGATGGATGACATCCAGCTGTGCAAAGACATTATGAACCTTAAGCAGGAGCTGCAGAGTTTGGTAGCAATCCCAGGTAATGGCTGTCTCCACCCAGTATTAGGATAACACCTGTGCTGACACCATCCCCACCCATGCATCACCCACCCAACAATCAGAATCTCCTCACCACAAGGTGGACTTTCATATCTCTTTCCTCTACTGCTCATTTTTAATTCCCATTTTCCTGCCCATCTCTGATCTCCGTTTCTAAATTTCTTTTCATGCTGTATTTCACTGCTCCCATGGCAGCAACCCAGCAAATATCACTCAAACAAGGAGCACATTCCTTATTTCTTGCACTCCCTTAGCAATCTCAAGGGAACCAAGTGGCACAGAGATTGTCAGGTAGAAAAGACAAGTGCTGAGATACCAGAGATAAAAGAGGGAGAGGATTTATAACCATCACTGTGAATGTGATTGATTTTTTCCTTGCTACACCAATCCATTATCACAACTGTAGTTAAATCTACCTTCTAGGATCAAGAACAGATTTCTACAAAAAGCAAGGCCCAAAACTCTGTTTTGTGTTTTGCCATAAATCTCTGCAAATTCAGTGTTTGAAGGAGGGACAGAGCTGTGGGCAGCTCTGCAGTCCTTGGCTCAGAATTCCAGCTGCCATCAGTGAGGAATTCCACTTTCCTACAGCCTTGCCATTTTAGATGATCCACAACAGCCTTACTATGTTCAAGGAAAAAAGATACAGATCCTGCAAAACAGCAACTGCAGCAGGCCATTCACACCACACATTCCTGCACAGCCTCCAGCACCCTGCAGAAATAATTTGCTTAACTGCTCCTGCTTAACTATTAAGTCCAAGTTTTGACTATCCTTTGGTTATCCTCATTTTTCCTCCTCACATTTTATTGTGCAACTTTGAAGGACAACTTTGTCCTCAAAAAGGAGAGAGAAGGGCATTTGTGACTTAGGAAAGAGATCTACCCTGAAACCACCCACTTTTAGCTGTCGAAGAACTTTGCCACATTTTGCACCTAACAGAAAGAGATTAATAATATTTCTTACTTTTTCTTTCCTTATACTTCTTATAGAGGTCACATTTTGTATTTTTAATAATAACATTCTTGGTTCATTATTCGTTCAAATGGAAAGGATTACAGATCCCTGAAAGTATCTGTGAATGATGCCCCTTGCCTCACTTTTCTGATCTGCAAGCTTTCCTGTCCTGTGAACTAACAGATAGGGTTAATCAGCTTTCATTCTTTTGGTGTTTCTGCTGTTTGGGTTTTTTTTTTTTTATCTTTTAGAAGTGATTTTCCAGTCTCAAGGCCTCAAGCAGAGACCCACAGACAGCAGTTTCTCCTTGGAACTTCACAAATCTCAGCAACTTAAGAATCCAAGAGGGGCAGTTCCAGCAGCAGCAGCTCCAGGCAGGGTCACAAGAGCTGGCACTAAGTGCTGACACAGCATGTGCCTAACCTAGAGAAACACTTTCCAGAAATGGATTCATTCACAGGATCTCCACCATCATTTTCCTGTAAGAACACAGATTTGTATAGAGAGCTGCTCTTTGGTTTCAGTAGACACAGTTTAGCCAATTTCAGTAGATGTGGAATCAGTCTTTCAGTACACAGAATATGCAGTAGTTTGCCACATATATTAATATTTTTAGTTGACAGTTTCCTGAAGGATATAATGGGGGAGCACATCTCAATTTAGGAAAAGCATAGAATGAAAGGAAGTAGAAAGTAGCTTCTATCTTCAGAAGTGAGGACAGTCCTTGCTCCTTAGCCATAACAGACAAAGCAGGAAAAAGCAGCCACCTCTAAGCATTCTTTTTTTTTTAATCTGTACTAAAACCAATTGTTTTCAAGTGTCTGATTAATTTAGCTATTTAAAGTGTCTTATAACTTAAATCAGCAGACATAACAGCTCAGATGCACCAGACTGCAGCTCACTCACCCTCCCCCAGCTCTCACTGTACTGAGCTGTGCAGGTCCTGCTGCCCAAAGCCCAAAATCTTGATTTAATACAAAGTGTCTTCAGAGCTGCTCAAAATTTTCAGCTTCTCAGAGAAATAAATGAGCTTGGATTTGCCTCTGGCTTTCTCGTCTCTGCTGCACTTGCAAGATTTGAAGAGTTCTTTCTGAAATACATTTGCTTTATAGCCTGAAAGGACAGTTCTGTAATCTCTAACATTTATGACTTTTAGTTTGTGACAGACACATCTTTCATGCCACAAAAATTGTTGTTTACAGACAACCTAGCCATTCCAGACTGGCCAATTAACAAGGATATATATGAATTACTCAGATTTTTGAAGTACGGGGAAAATAAACTTGCATTTATTTTTCCGTGTTTTACAATTGCTGCTATTGGTGGGGATTTGCAGCTCACCTGCCTTGTCAGAGTAGAAAAAACAGTGCTGTTTTCAACAGCCAAAGCTGTCTTGAAACACACAGAAATAGTTCCTTTTGGTGTGATCTCCTTTCCCCTGAGGTCAAATGGAGTTTGTACATTGGATTTTAACAAAGCATCTGGAACTATTTTCTTGCCAAAGCTCTGAAAAAAAAATTCCAAGCAATGTCTTGCAGAGTCATTGAGTATTAAAAGCAGGCTTAGCAAAGCCCACAGAACCTTCAGACCATTAAAAGCTGATCAGAGTCAACAGCAGCAAGTGAGGAGAGCAAAGAGGCAGTGACCCAGCTTGCTGGGGTTTTGGTGACTCAGCCTGGAAAACCATTGACTTCAATCAGCAGCTGATTCTCAGACAGCTGCAACGTCCTACACCACCCCCTCACCTCCCCAGAGCCCAAAGTAACACACTCTTTTCTCTCTTTTTGACCAGAAAAAGAAAAAACAAAGATGGAGAAGCAAAGAGAGGATGAACTGATTCAGAAGATTCATCGACTGGTACAAAAAAGAGATTTTCTTGTAGATGATGCAGAGGTGGAGAGATTACGGTGAGAGCCAAGAGCAACTGAACTTATTTAGTGGCATTCCACAAGCCTAGTAATACAATAGATTAAGTGACAAAATTTAAATCAACATTAATGGGAGAGAATTGGTCCTTCAAAACAACTCACCAAGTTAAAAGCCTCCTCTCCTTTCCATAGGAAAACCATTAAAATTAGATTGCTCTAATTCTGTGGCTCTTTATCCCATTAATGATTCAGTCGTCTCATGAATATCAGTGAGCTTTGGTCTCTTATTTTCCTACCAGAAACAGTCTGGGCATTTACCATTTAAAAGAAAAGGATTTATGCTGCTACCAGGGAATTCTCTTGGGATAAAAAGTAGACATGAAATGGAATTCTACAAGGGGAATATTTGTAGACATCTAAAATCTTCCTTTTGAAATTATTCATGTTGTCAGGTTGATTCCCATCTTGTCATAGCAAAACAACCCAAACAACAACAAAAAACCCCAAACCAGCTAAAAAGCAGTCAGCTTTTAGCTGGTGACCTGAGTCTGAGCCATGGGCAGGTTCTGAAGGGTTTAATCTCCATGGCTTAGCCCAAAGTTGCCAAGAAAGTTGTAGGCTTCCTCCAGATTCACTTTGAGCACCCAACTCCAATCTTCTGTTTGAGATCAACACTCTACAGAGTCAGTTTTGCTCTTACTTCCCCCTCTTTCAGCAGTAAAGACCCAATCCATTTATCCAAAATGACAGTATCTCCTCCAACACATTGAAATTCTGGGCAAGCAGGGAGAGGATTTGGCAAAGCTTTCCCCAGTCCTGCAGTTGATCAAAGAGAGCTGGGCAGAGGCAGCAGCTGACAAGGAGCCTGAGCTAGAACTGAACCCAGAGCTCTCACTGAGCCCCCTGTGCAAATCACAAAAGCCTCAGCAGCAGCTTTCATTTAGGCAAATATTTTGCTCTTTAATAAGTGGCAAAATTAAATGTTTCTGAAAACAGCAAAGAAATTAATTGTTTACTAGTGACTTGATCCTAGCTACACCAGCTTTTGCTGTCCCATTTACAGAGAAAACTGTCATTCCTCTAACATCTATTTTCCTTCCTTCTACCAGGGAAAAAGAAGAAGACAGAGAGATGGCTGAGTTCCTTCGCACCAAGTTAAAACCCGTCGACAAAGCAACACAGTCTCCTACCAGTGAGTTCCTAATCATTAAGAAAAAAACAAGAGCAAAAGGAAAAACTCCAAAGACAACTGATTATAAGAGCATTTTCACAGGGCAGCCTCAGACAAAAGCTAGGTGAAGCTAGCAAGAAACAACTAGATCACCTAGAAACAACTCAGGGTGTCAGCAGCTGCTGGCCACTTAGACTTCAGATACCAAATTACCCCATAAAACTGAATTTCTGTCACCTATGGTCACTTCAGAACTGCTCTGTATGTTTTAAATATGCAAAGTATATTTGTATACACAGTGCCACAAGCTGCATTTCTAAGCAGTTAGATTTCTATTAATAATTTTCCTATCTGTTTCTACAAAAATAATGGAGAAAAACCTCTTCAGGTCCATGCTGGAATATCTGAAACAAAGTTCACCTGTTTTACTGCAGTCAAGATGGAAACTAGAGGAAAAAACTGCAAACTTCCACAGCTGACCCACATTTCTTACATATTACCATCAGGAATAGGCTTTTGAACCACCCCAACCCAAATCACTTGTAGGCAGAATGGAACCACACTGGTTTCTGAGAGACAAATTGGATTCCATGATGCCTCGGAAGCTTTTAGCTGCAACTTTCAAACAGAACAGTCACAGCCACAGCAGGAGCTCTAGAAGTTCACAGATTGATTTTGCCCTGTCTCAGGATGAGCTCTCAGGCAGAGCCAAGTGAGAGCAGTGCCCTTCTTAGAGAGGTCCACCAGCTGAAGAGGTTTGTACCAAACATTCTGCCCTTTGGCACAGATCAAGATCTTGCTCAAGAGTTCCCAGAGGGACTGGAATGACCTTGAAGTTCAAGTACAAGGTTGAGAAGAGACCTTTTAAGATGCATCACTAATTATTTATACCCCCTTAGTCACAGGGAGCATGACTCATCTTCCTTGTTTGTTTACTTTCTCATTGCTTTTAAATGCAGTTTTAAAGATAAAAATATTCTTTTCACCCTGAAAAATGAAAACCTACCTTTATCTTGTTCCCTTAATTACAACATCCAAGCCAATGAGAGAATAAATTCTAGCAATACTTTTGTTCTTCAGCTCCTTTCCTTGTTGGGAGCTAAACAGTGAAATGACTTTGTGAAAGGACCCATGGCTGTGAAAAGGGACACCTGCCTTGAACCAGATGCAAGTTTCCCCTCCCTTTGAGATGTATGGATTCTTTAGCTCCTCTTAACACCCTTCCCTGAAGAGATAAGACTTTCTGAGCAGTTTCAAACCAGGTATCAGCTCCGTCACCACCAAAATGTATTGTTCAAACAGGAGCTAAAAAATTCAGTGTGGGTGGAGAGAGGGCAGGAAAGGTTTGCACCCTTTAAGGCAGAAGTAGGAAGGAAGACTTTGAGCAGCTCTTGGTTCTAATGGTGTCCTGTTTTGAACATTGCAGGCAGCCCAGCAGAAAAGAAGGCAGAACCTCCTCCAAGCAAGCCCACCATTGCCAAGGCAGGGCTGGCAATTATTAAAGATTGTTGTGGGGCCACACAGTGCAACATCATGTAGAGAGAGCCCTGGGCTTCCCACCCTGCTTGTCTTTTCAGTGTTTCCATTGAGTGGAACTGGATGGTGAGGGGAACCAGCAGCATCCTGCTGAGGGAGGCAAGAGCAGCTGCACAAGTGTAATCTATGGACTGGACAATGGCAGGTTCTTCACTGTTGCATGGATCACTCTACACGCATGCCTAAAAACAAAAGAAATCTATTTAGTGGCTGTCCAGGGACCAGAGGAGATCAGCAGTAGAGTCAACAAAAAGCACCCCCGTGATACAGGTGAATGAAAAGGGGCTATATTTAATCCAGTATGGTGTAAACCAGCAATTTTAATAGGTTATAACTTCAGAAGAATGTGTTGTACACTTTCCCCCCCATGACAAACTGCACTCAAAAATCACCAAATTCTCCAATTTTGGCTACTTTTCAGAACAAAAGCCACAAGTAGCAATGCTATATATAGCACAACTGACAGAGGAAGCAACTGTAGGGTAACTGATGTTGCATACAAAATACCAAACTTGTGTGATGTTCAACTACTTTGCTGTGGAGTTTCATTTCAAATTCTTCCTAAAGAATGAGAACAGTGACAAGGATGCTGCAAGTAGCTACAGATTTTTATACCCCACATGATATCCGAGTTACTCAAGTCAAATTAATATTGCTTGCACCAGGGGAAATAAATCCCTGGCAAAGCTTTAGCAAAGCACAGCTACAGTAATCTGCAAGTTGATGATGCAGTCCAAGGTTGTGTCACTTCTGTTTTAGATCTCCAGCTCCCATGAAGTAAGAGAAATATTCACCCAGGGTTTTGTCCATTTTTACAAGCTACATGCAGCAGGAGATTACACATCACTGAGAGATTGCTGGGAGAAGAACACAAGACAAAATTTAACTAATATTGAAACCATGCTTAAAACAAGTATTAATTGTATATTTTGTGACCACAAGAAATATAAACTATCCATAAAAAAGCATAGGAAGACACAAGGCACCCAAGACAAATTGGCCACAAGACAAATATACAAATACAGAAGTAGGTATTTGTGGCAGGAAAATCACATTCTGTATAAAATGGGTTTAAAATTAAGGGAAATGCAGAAATACTTGTCTGTGTTTCACCATTAAGTGTGTTTCTGGTCTCTATGCAGATTAAGCTTGTGGAATCTAATATCTTTATATTAGCTGTCAGTAGCTGGTTTGTCTGTGTGATGGTATTCCATATAAATGTACTGTGATAGGTGTAAATAGTAAAATAAACGTACATGGATCTAGTGTGACAATCTCAGGCTTAGAAATAACAAAAGATAGCAAAAAGTTCCTAAAATAATGTTTTGCAAGAGGAACTTCCATTTTGTGAAGCCAGCTAAGTGAAGTGTGTGCTTATATACCAAGGAACCACAGTATAGGAAAGGAGAAAAAATTAACAGCAGTTACCCCAAAAGGATAAACAGTTATTTTTTTAGACAGAAAAAGTATCTTATTAATGTTGAAGGCAATAGACACCATCTAAAGTAACTCAGACTATCCTCATACAAATAAAACCTAATCCCTAGCACTGACTGATTTGATGAAAAACACTTTCATTTCCAGAATAATTTCAGTATTGCAGACTCACTTGAGAAAAAGAACTGACGTCACTAATACCTTAAGTTTTAAGGATCAAAGAGGAAAAAATACAAAAGGTTTCCACTGAGACATGAAGCACTTTAATCACTTTGACCAAAGATGCAGGAAAGAGAACAAAGGCTGACTCTCATGTATGATTCTTGTATCCTTGTTGAGACATACACACCACACTGAGCTCTGTAGCTGTCACAATCTGTACCTGGTGTGGGTTGGACTCTGCAGGGCACCTGTGTACATTTACAGTTATGGGGAAAACTGCTTTTAGGGGAGAAAATACACACTGGAGGGAAAGAAACACCCATTGGCTCCTGTAAAATTCCACGGGCTCTTGCTGGTACCCAGTTAAAACATCAGGAATTGCCAGAATCTAAAGGCAAGAGGCAGATATTCAGTGTCATTAATGAAGGCAAATGGGAGTCAGGGAAAAAGCTGTAGTGAAGCACCAAACTTTAAACCTTAGGAGCATCAGCTGTGAATGCCACTAATAAAGGGTCCAGAAGGACTTTGCACATTTAATTCCTGAGGTAACTTCTGCACACGAGTGTTTAACCCAGGCTGTGCTGATGAGAGGGGTGATCCCTACAGACTGCACAAAATCCACCTGGCAATAAAGTGAAGTGAGTGCAGTGTAGGTTTCCATGAACAAATTTCATTAGCAAGAAACAGTTAGGCAATCCTGGGAAGCAACATTCATGACCAGGCTACAGAGCAATCCCTTTAATTAAAACTAGGAAGAAAAACAGCAAGTAGGAATGTGCAATATTCTTGCAGTTAAGCACTGGCAGCCAGTGCCCCAAAGGGACTTGAACTCCAGCAGTGTTAATGAGAGTGAACTTCGTTTTCAGAAATTCTAGCTTGCCTCAGCTGGAAGGTTTTCTGTATGCCAGTTTTTGTTTTTAATTAGCAAATTTCTGTGTTTATTTGGGTGGGTTTGAAGAGCTTGCCTGCAGTGCACAATTGGTTCCTTCTGAAGTGGGTCAGTGATGCTGCTAAGCAATAAAGTCCTGGATTTGTTAGACTGTAAGGTCAGATTCTCAACTGTGTTCAACACTGGTTTAGTGTTGCCTGTCTAGAACACAGCAGAGCCCTTATGGCTGATGTCAAAGTTAATGGCTACAATTAAACAAACTAAACTTAGGAAGGAATTAAGTGTAAAAATCTTGACCCTTATTTTTAAAAACCAGACTAAGTCACTGAATATCCCAGGAACAACTAGGGGCTTTTTAACTGCCATGATCCTGTGAGCACAACACATGATACAATCCCCATATATAAAATCAGCAGAGTATCAGACAAGTATCTTTAGGTGACTGTATGGAGTAACTGGCATCATTTCAGAGTTGATTTTCAGCTATCAGTCACTGTCAGCAGAGAGGGACATTGATGGAAGCACCCGGTATCTCTTCTGGAAATCCTGGCTATTTATCACTTCAGAAAAAAGGCAAGGCATTGGAAAAGGAATAGTGTGTGCAAGAAAGTGTAAGGTGGATTTGACACACTGGTAAACATGACTGGGTTCAGGAAAGGACCTTGGTCTACTGAGAAAAACAAAAGTGCTGAAGTGCTATTTGTACAAATCACCAATTCCACCAGCAAATGGTTCTCTTGCACCTTCCCCTAGACCTACTGAATCTCTTCCAAGTTAAACATGTTTCCAAATAAACTAAGCTGCTGTGTTATACTAAGCCTTTGTTTCTTCCTGTTACTGAGGGAAAAGTTGGTTGTGGAGTGGAATGGGATGCAGTTCTTGTGCTGCTACACTTCCCAAAAAGAATAAGGTTACTATTCTGCACAAAAGGAGTAATGCTGAGGGGTAAGTTTGAGATGCTACTGAAATAAAAGATTTTCTCACTGATAAAGAAAACCCACCAAAAAAGCCAATTTCATTATGCTGTAAGATGACTTTGAAACCTCACTACAGCCCAGAGCCTGCACAGATTAGAGACAGTTCCCAGCCCTACACTGAGAATGTAAGGGTCCCAACTCATCCGAGTATCAGAACTGCCATGCCAAGAGGGCCCTGGTGTTACTGAATTGAACAAAAAGTCTTCCTTCACCCCAGCATAAATGCTACCATTGTTACCAAAGTGCATCTTGTTTCACATGATCCCATCCATCCTGTAAACAGCCAGGCAAGCAGGCTGCTTTCAAACAGGATCATACCAAAACTTTCACCCAAAGACCAAAACTTCCTCTCCCTTGTGCACACAACACTTCACTGGGATCCTGAGAGCAGCTCAGCAGCTGAGCCTGGATCCTCACAGCCCCAGCAGCACCTCTGTCTCATAGAGGAGTGAGGAGGTGTCTCACAGGAGATCTCCCCTCACATCCAATTCTGCTTTCTTGTTTCTTAATGAGAGGCAGTTTTGTGCAACAACACTTCATGGGAGACTGAAAGAATTGCGTTAAGACACCAAGAGGTGTTTGAGCTGATACCTAAACAGTGAATCTCATCAGTTACAGAGGTCAGTGGATTTTAACAGGCTTGACCACAAAACCAGAGGAGACGACTGCAGCTACTATCAAGTTTCTTGCAGCCAATTGCCTCATCCCAGCTACACCAAGAGAAGAGTTTGTTTTTCTCCTTCATGACACAGGCAGGATGCAATCCTTCACTTTTGAATCAATAACTGACGTGAAACTTGAGCCGTGGCATGACATAAATAGTGCTTTGACAGCCACGTCAAAACGTGCTCAAATAACACCCTGAAGTGGCATTTCAGGAATTTCAGGAATTTCTAGTAAATGGCATTCTCTCTTTAGATCAATCTGCTTTCTGTAGCATACATATACCACTACAATCCATTTTAATAATCACTTGAATTAGGATTTCTTTTCTGTCTTTATCCACCTAAGTAATACTAAACAAAAACAGTCATACAGGAAGGAATACAGCATTTTAAGTGATGCTTACTAGGAAAATGCTATTAATAGGAGTTAAACCATAGCTCACCATGCAACTAGTCTGTCCTGTTACTTTATGGCAAGCAAAATAAGCCATATTAATTTTAGAAAAAAAATGAAAGCTATTTCCATCACCACTTTTTTACTAACTTCAAACAGATGGCTTAACATAAAATGAGAATAAAAGTAAGAATGTTTGCAGCACAAAACCAAAGCAGCATTTAAAAATCAAACTCATCTTTTGAAGGTAATTACATACCAGGTGCTGTGAGAGATTTTACTCATTCATTTACTTAAAAACATTCACAACTACTGAAAAATGAAATTACAGAGCGGTGATTATAAGGTTTGTGGTGCTGCTCTAGGAAGTTTTATAAACCACCTGTTCCTCCTTTCAAAGAGGAATATTCCATTACTTCCAAGAGGGATATTTATTACATGGTTTATGAAGAATTTCCCACTAAGTTTTTTAGGTAGTTACTTTAAAATTGTTTAGTGAACAAGTACTCTGTAAAGTCAAGTGATTGCTTACAGGCCTGACTTATTCCAGCAGGCTCCACTTAACAGTTCTGTTGAGTGAGAATATGTCACAAAACAGAAACCAAAAAACCCCCAAAAAAGCGTCAGGAACAGCTCATCCAGGTCTTTGCTTTTGTACATGAAGC